TTTAGGATTGAGATTTTCTTGTATGAATAAATTTGGTGTTAAATAATTTATTATGGACTCTTGTATTAGATAAATTCTTAGAAAAAAAGTTCTTCATAATTTGTGTATTATGGTAAAAATTACTCTCAATAAAAATTCATAATATTTAGAATAACTTAAAGGATTTTCTGACCAACTCCAATATTTCAAATATCAGCTTCACTTACAGATATAGCGTTTTATATCAAGATTTTTAATCATTAATTCTCATAAATTAAAAAATAGTGGTTTCTTAAAATATTGCCCAAATTCACATGAATTTAATAAACCATTTATTAAATTCTAAAATGCATATTCATGTATAATATTTTAATTTGTTTTTAAATAAAGAATATTTTTAAAAAAGTACGTGCCACAATACCAAAATATAGTATAAATTAAAAGAGAAAGGAGTTTTCTCTTCATCACTATTCACTTATATTCATTGTGGATATTAATAGTGAAGTTTTTGAAAATTTTCAATAATTTGATACTCAATTATTTTTTTTCACAATTGAGCTCTTAGTGACACGGTTGAGATAAGAGAGGGCGTGGAAATAGGAGAGGTTGAGGGAGGCAGAAACGGAAGTAGACAGTAAAGATAAAAAAATATGAATATGTGATGCTCGTTTATCTATTTGATTGGGATTTTTTTTGTCTCTTTTATTTGGAATTTCTTTGGACACTTTAATAATATAATAACAAAGAAAATTAAAATATTGGTGAAATTATTGTTCATTCAAACACAGATTTACTTGGCCTACAATAGTAATTTTTTTCCTATATTTTAAGTTCTAGTTTTTAATAGCTATTCTCGTTTGTTTTTTCATGCTCTTACAAATAATGCAGGAAATGAGGACCTGAAATCACGGTAGCGAATAAGGATAGAAATAACGTGTTTGTTCTTAAGTATTTTCAAAAAAATTACATTAAATTAAATTTTATTTTTATTTCAAATTAATTTTTAAAAAACTAGCTTGAAAATTATTACGAAAAAAAATGATAGTGGAGTAGTTGTCCAAATCAAAACACATAAATATAGGACAAAAACAGGGAGAGAGGCTCTTTATTTTTTTAACTGTATTGGTTTAATAAGGTTTATAAAGTATTTTATAAATATTTTGGATAAAAAATAGGTTAAAAACAAGTTTTAAAATAAAAAATCAGGCTTGTAACATAGTGCAGAACAAACAGAAGAGACATCTGGTTTCTCTTGAGCAAAATAAAAAAATATATATATACATATATACTTGACCAAAAACAAGTAGTCAGCACCCGAAGAAACCGAGTGCATGAGAGAAAAAGAATAATAGCTAGAAAACAATCAACAGATCCAAGAATTTTCCGTATGGTTTCCAAGAAAATGAAACGAAATGAGCAGCACAACCCTCTTTCTCCTCCAAGAAAAGAAAGGAAAGAAACAAAGAAAGTCAAACTTGGCTCCTCTTTTAGTGTTAAAAAAAAAAAAAAACAGATTCAGGATAATCACTCGGACGCCTCCATGGATGATACCAGCTCGCTTCCAACGACAAATATAATTAACCTAAGCTATGATCGGTCAATGTTTTTTTTAGTTTTCTTCTTTTTAAAAAAAAAAAAACAGATCATAAAGGGAAAAGACTTGCAAAGAAGTAGAATTAATGGAACGAACACAGCAAAGGATCAAACTCAAGCAATTAAAAGTAATTGTCAATGGGTACCATGGGTGTCACACACTCAAGTGAGGAGAGAAAAGAAGGAGAAAGAAAGGAAAGGGACAAGGATGGCAGAAAGTAAGGTCACGTAGGGCCAGTCTTGTAGAAAGTTTGAAAAGTAGCACGAAAGAAGAGGATAATAGAGTAGTTGTCAGAATCAAAACACATAAACAGAGGTCAAAAACAGGGAGGGAGACTGTTTTTTTTTTTTTTAACTGTGTCTGAGTGATTTTTATAATTATATTTAATTTAAAAAATATGAAATTAATATATTTTTTAATATTTCTTGTTATTTTATATATATATAATAAATTTTTAAATAAAAAATATTTTAAAAAAGTATGTTTCACAATACAAACTTATAGTATAAATTAAAAGAAAAAGAAGTTTTATGCTCATTACTATTCACTAGACTTGTAGATATTAATAATAAAGTTTTTGAAAGTTTTCGATCTAGTATTTGAACTTATTTTTTTTTATAATTATATTTATTTAAGCTTAATTGCATATTTTTTAAAAGGAAATAGGTTGAATTGAGAAACAGAGAAACTCGACAAAAATATATGGTTAAAATCAATCTTTTTTTTTTTTTTATAAAACTCCTTAGTTGTTAAGGAAATATTGGTAGTGTGAACAAAACAGCAAAGTCAGCAGCAAAGAAAGTTACAGGAAGTGGACAGCTTGTTTTAGGTCTGTTTTTAAGAATTATAGAAAGTTATCCCTAACTCAAAAACAGCACCAGTTATAAGATGATGGCTGTGTGGCTGTCTTTTCATTAAAATGTAATTTTTAGTTGGCTGGTAAAGAAAAAAATTAATTTATCCTGCATGATCCAATATAATTCATTCACTGTTTATGTTATTGATACTGTTCAATGAACAGTATAATTTATTGTACTGTTCACACATGAATTGTACTAAATTTTTTTAGTGTTCATTTAATTTTATTAATATTTTTTTAAGTGTAAAAAAAACTAGTTTAAAATTAATTAAATTTATTTGTATTGTGATGTGAATAATATTTTTTTTCTTGAAGAACTAATATAGAGTGAATTAAATTCACTTGCACCGTAATATTAATTTTATACCTGATAATATTTTATCTAATTTTATTACATGCTTAAAAAATTATAAAAACTGTAATTCTTATCGAATAAATTTTGTACGTAATAGAATTATAAATAGTTTAGTAAAAAAATATTTTATATAAAGTATTATTTATTTCATGATATAATAGGAGTAATTAATTTTATAGTAGTTAAATTTAAAATCATCGATATTAATATATATTTTTAAAAATTATTTTATAACTTCAATTTCAAAAACATTTTTAACCAAACACATTAAATTACTTTTTCTTCAACTTCAATTGCAACCACAGTTTTAACCAAACACTTATTTTTTCAAACCAACTTCAACTGAAAGTATTTTTTATAAAATAACTTTTTTTTTAAACTATAATCACAACATCTACCGTAATATTAAACACACTCTAAATTCATTACAAAAAATCTGGAGCACAACAGATGGAAAAAAACTCCAAACAACTTGTCTAGAATATAGACAAGAAGAATGAGCCAAGATTTTAAGTGAAATGAAATTTGTCTCACATTGTTTTGTTTTTTAAAATGATATAAGATATATTACCTATTTCAGGTGAAACAAAATAGAATTGACAACATTTAAAGAGAGCAGAGACCACATATATCTAGCTTGTATTCAATAGCCTTTCTCCCATACTGACATGTGCTTTACACACACCAACATTTCTTTCTTTTTTATTATGTAATATTTCACATCGATGAGTAAGGATTTGATAGCTGACCTTATTAGTAGTGTTGGTTGATGACTTGTCAGACACGTTTTGAGACCATGCGTGGTCACCAAAAACAAATCCATGAGGACGTTAAAGCCCAAAACGAACAATATCTAGCAGGTTAGGCTGGACTATGAAATTTAGTATTATAGATGGCCTCACTGGTTATCCAGTTATGCTGGCAGGGTCATTAAGCTCCTTAAGAGAGGTACATTGTAATATCTCACATCAGCTGATGAAGATTTGGTAGCTGGACTTATTAGTAGTGCTGGTTGCTGAATTATTAGGCGTGTTTTGGGACCATGTATGGTCACCAAGAACAAATCTGTGAGGACGATAAGACCCCAAACAGACAATATCTAGCAGGTTTGGTTAGGCTGTGACATATTCGATAATAATTCTTCAATTAAGTCCTAAATCTCATTTCATCTTTTCAATTTTATCCCTAATTTGACACGAACTCTTCAATTACACCGCAAAACTCATCGCATATGAGGAAAGTTCTCTTCTTTCAATTTAGCCCCTTATTATCTTTAATTTAATATTGAATTTTATTTGATCCAAGCCCAAAAAAGGCCAAGCGAAGATAGAATAAAGGAAGGAAAAGAAAATGAATAATTGCCCAACCGAGTTAACGTGTTCTGGTCTTTTCTCTATGATTCAGGTTGAGCATTTGAAATTTATCCTTTTTTTTTTTATAGTCTTTTTCCATATTTATTGTGACACCGCACACTTGCAACAATCAATAAATGTATAGTTAATTTCATTTTTTAATAAAAGATAATACCATTGGTGTAGAATGGTTACCAATTGTTAGTTTAGTATTTCTTGTAGCCAATCAGTTAGTTACACGGGGTATTATTATATTCATATAAATATATATTTATTATTAATAAAGGTTTAATTTAATTTTAATATTTATATAATATTAGATTAATGAATCTAGAATATAGATAAAGTTTACGTAACAAAAATGTTTTGCAAAGAAAATTATAAAGTTACTATAATTATAAAAAATTTTATGCATCAAAGTATTGTTTATAAAATAATCTTGGTTAATATTTTCTTAAATACTGGATATTTATTAAAATCATAAAAACTAATATATATTATATTTTTTTATGAAATAAAACATTTGTTTTATAAGTTCACCTAACCTGAAATCACGGCTGCAAATAAGGAGAGAAATACGGCTGCAAACAAGGAGAGAAATAGTGTGGTTGTGTTTTTATTTTTGAAAATATTATTTTTAAAAAATATTTTTTTGTATTTTAAAATAATTTTTTTAATTTTTATATTGATATTAAATAAAAACATGATAAAAGAAGAAAGAATAAAAAAAAACCCTAAAATCACGGCATGATCAAAGGGGAAAGAAAAGGATGGGACAAAGAAGGAAGAAAGTAGGGTCGCGTAGGGGCCAGTCGCCAGTATTGAAGAAAAGCTAAAAGAACCATGTTTATGAGAAAGGACCGGGTAATCCAAGGAACCAATAGATTATCGCCACATGTTCAACCTTATCTTCATATGTTCACCCACACGGAGATAAAGGTAATCTCAAAAGCTAATAGATGGTCGCCACGTGTACAAGTCTGTCTAACCCCTAGGAAAGGATAGAAAGTGGGAGAGAGGAAGGTTAAAAAGGCTTTAAAAAGAAAAGAAAAGGAAAGACAGAAATAAAGGAAAGGACGTGGAAAAGAGAAGGAGAGGTTGAGGGAGGCTGCAGAAATGGAAGAAGACATCGACAGATCGGAGGAGAGTAAGATAAAAGAATATGAATATGTGATGTCCTATTTCTTATAAAAATACTCTGTTTTTTTTTTATTTCTCTTTTATTTGGAATTTCTTTGGACAAAGGAAGAAAGTAAGGTCACATAGGTGGGTCAGTATTGTAGAAAATAGGAGATGAAAATTAGTATGAAAAAGAGGATGATAGAGTCGTTGTCCATATCATAGTGGTTTTTATAATTATATTTAATTTATATAAATATTAAATTAATATATTCTTAGTATTTTATATGACTTAAAAAATATATGTGTATAAAAAATTATTTTAATATATTTTCAAATAAAAAATATTTTCACACATTGTCTAATAAAAGTAGATTCCATTGTCAATTCCTTAACATTTTCCAAACAAATCCATGCTTCTCATTTTATACTGTCTTGAGGGTTTCTATTCTCTTATTACCAATTTCAGCGAGTTTCATAATAAGCTGCTTAGAAAGAAGCTATCTAACAGGAGGGTGGGGCTACTCTTAGCCAATGAAAACAGCTTCACATGCTATACAGCAACGTGAAAAAAAGATTCTCAGCCTGTTTTCTCTTTAACGAACACCCTCTTGGATTCTCTAGCATTAGCCAACAAGGTATCTGCTTGGAATTACTTCCACCAGTATGAAAATAACATACAATCTATTTAATATACTTAACTAACATTTATTTCATAATCTATATATTTTTAACTAAATTAATTATTTTTTAAAAAAACAAAAAAAGTAAACAGTTTTTCAAAAATCTAATTCATAATAAAACAAATAATGAGACTTGATAATAATTCATTAAATAATCATCAATTATTCATCAAACTAATCTGAAAAAGCTAATATTAAAGTTATGGACCAATCTGAAATTTTATCATTGTTTTAGGGGTCAAATTATAATTTTATAAAATTAGAGGACCAAACTAAAAATATCATAAATTCATGACTATATTGAAATTTTGCACATAATTCATCCTCAATTCTACCCAAATCTCAAATTATGCTCTAAAGACCACTCTGGAATTTTATCATATTTCTAGAGTCAAATTGTAATTTCATCAAATTGGAGGATCAAAGTGAAAGTTTCATAAATTCATAATTATACTGGAATTCTGCACAAAATTCATCTTTAATTTTTTCCAGAATCTAAGATTATGCTTCAGTGACCAATCTCTAATTTTTTCAAAGTTTAGGGATGAAATTATAATTTTTACAAATTGAGAGGCCAAACTGAAATTTCATAATCTTCAACCTCAAACCTAGAATTTACAAAGATAACCTACAGATATATCAAGATTTCTAACTTAAATTCATCATTTAAATAAATTATAATTTAAAATCATTATTTTTACTTAAAATCTTTCGCAATCAACTACATAATTCATTACTTGTAACAATCAACTGATAATTTTTCTGCAATGTAATTGTAATTCCTAGCATAATGAAATAAAACCAAAAAAGAGGGATGAAAAAAGTAACCGGATGAAAAAAGTAACCGCACTCTGGTTGCCATAAAAAACATAGTTCTTTTAGTATTTTTTTTTTTTTAAATATTGTGATAGGTCAATCATATTACCCGAGTGTGTGACACAGAGATGATCATCATAGAAAATTACTTTTAATTGCTTGACTTTTATTATCCTTGGATGACAAACTTACTTTGTCCTACTAATGCTTTTGCTTTCATTGTTTCGAAAGTAAAAGAGACATAAACATAATCATTTCCTTCCTTCTACTTTCCACTGCTTTGTAATATTGGATTGCAAACGGGATGGTGCTTAGGGGGGCCAGTTTTTCTTTTCCTTTCTTTCTAAAATCTTATGCCTTTGGGTGAGGAGGTTAGTGGAGCATTAGACTTTTTAAAAGACAATAAAAAGAAGCAATGTCTCATCATTTGATATGGTGGTCTTCCATGATCAGTTTGTTGATGAAGATATCGAAAGAGTCGAGTCTCCGTTCTAGCTCAGGTTGGATGCTAGGCCGAAAGCTAAGCTTCTTTTAATTATGAATTGTTTATGCAAAGGAAACCCAGAAGCTTGAACAAACAGAAATGCCTTGTTGATTTCTCTGCCGCTACTCATTTTTTCCAATATTATTCCATTATCTTACCCGAAAGCAATTATACAAGAAATTTCATTATCCTGCCCCAAAAGGCAATTTATTACAAGAACTTCCTTTAAACTCCTTGAAGGCAATTTATTTGATGAAAATTCCTTTAATCCACCTCAAAGACAATTTATCTTAGGGAATTCCAACGACCAAGGCAATTAATTTCTTGGAAATTCCTTTAACCCGCCTTAATTAATTAAGACGGTATAAAAAATTATTTTAATATATTTTTAGAAGTATATGCCACGGTACTAAATTATATTATAAATTAAAAAAATAAGGTTTTATCTTCATTAGTACTTCCTTACAGTCATTTAATTGTAGACAAAAATGATGTATTTTTTAAAAATTTTTAATTTTACACTTGATTTTTTTCCACAATTAATCATTTTTAATTAAAATTAGAATTCAATTACATATTTGTTTAAAGATAAATAAATCATATTACAATATTAAATATCTAATCTATATTTTTATCCCCCGATTTTCTAGAAAAGCAAAAGAAGCTAAGCTTATTCCCGACCAAAACGTCAAGAATTTCAGGAGAACAAAAGAAGAGATTATTACTTGACCAAAAACAATTAGTCCGCGTCCAAAGAAACCGAGTGAATGAGAGAAAAAGACTATTAGCTAGAAAACAATAAACAGAACCAAGAACTTTCTGTATGGTTTCCAAGAAAAATGAAATGAAACGAGCAACACAACCCTCTTTCCCCTCTAAGAAAAAGAAAAAGAAAAAGAAGGGAAAGAAACAAAGAAGTTCTAGGAAGTGGGCAGTCTTTGTTCTGCTGTTCACACAGACTAAGAACTCCTACCATTGTAAAATCATATAATTAAAACACAACAATAAAAATGTAATAAGCAGCTGATGAATGCTATTGTTCTTTCTTCTTATTTTGCTATTTTAATTTTTATCATATTTTCTTAAGAAATTATAAATGTGAAAGTTAGCCAAGTTATTAGATTCCAGCCAAGCGGTAAAAATTTAGAATCAAGTGCTTTGTTTTCTTTGTAGTCTCGTATTCGAGTCGTTGTAAACCATAATCATGCAATTGTCCTACAAATCACGAAAAACTAGATCAACATGAAGACTTATCAGATCCTAATGAAAAGCTGTCAAAATCCTATCAGAAATTAAGGAAGATGACGTTAACTTCAAATCTGAGGATTAATTGTAGCAGATCTTATAGCGTTCAGCTGATTGTTTTACTTGTTTAAATAATTCTCTTGTAAGCCTGATGGTTCACGTCTACCATCATTGTAACCTTTTTTCTGTGATTGAAAAATCTATAATAGGAACCTGCATTGCATCCATTCTATGATGAAAGTTCAAGAAATTCTACTTCGAAACTCAAGACAAAGTCTCCCGGAGTGCATATTAGTGGGTTGCTCATTGGGATTTCTATAAACAACTGGTACTAATATTGCAAAGCAACATTGCGAAAAACTGAATATTTCACACATAGTCTAATAAAAAGTAGATTCCATTGTCAATTCCTTAACATTTTCCAAACAAATCCATGCTCCTTTTGCCATTCCCTAATTGCGTTGAGCCAGCTAATCTGGATGAAAGGAAGGACTTCGACCTTGAAATTAGCATCATAGTCATGGAACCTTAAAGCAGACCCAACTTTGTAGCTCATTACCAGCTACGTAAAAGTTATCAATAGCTGTGTAAATCATTGAAACTGCCACAAAAGCAACCCAAATTAGTTATGAATTGGATTCGATAAAGGAAAGAGGGGAAGAGGGGAGAAGACAGATGAAGATCTGCGCAGGGCTACCTGTTTTGAGAATTATGGATTTTTATCCCTAACTCAAAACGGCACCAATTATAAGTTCAATAAAAAGAATTAATATGAGATATACTTTTCATTTTAGTGAAACTCGAGTTTATTGTGTCAAAGAAAATGTTCTAAAAAAACGTTTTGAACATTAAAAGAGGGCATCCACTATTGTTGCTGTTACCGTTGGTGCATACTCAATTACACCATTGATTCACATGGTGCGATTTATTTTTTATTTTTATATAAAAAAAATCCATCTTATTTTTTTTATTTCAACCTTTTCTATTAACATGTTTCGTAATTGGCCATGGTATTTTGTTTCTATTTTGTCTCTGTTTTCTTCTATAGTTATAAAAAACATCATGTTTTTAGATTTGAGCTTGATCATGCAAATTTTTTTGATGTAGGCAGAAGCTTAAAACATAATAATTAAAGAATATAAATTTTTTAATGAGCAAAAAAAAATACAGATATGAACTTTTAAATTTACAAGTTTATTTTTTTAAAATAATAATAATGAAGTCTGTTTTTTTTAGTAAATTTACAAAATCTTAAATATGCCAAAAACTCTATCTCAACTAGAAAAAATAAAATAAAATTGCAAAGAAAGATGCATAACATCCAAAATAAGCAAGAAATCCAAAAATAATAAGAAAAATCACCAAAACCAGGGTTCTTAGCATGATTTTTGATATCTAAAGATTTAACAATCCATGTAAGAATTTGAGCATGATCCGAGAATTGAATAAAACATTATGGTCCTTTTAAGCTATTATTTTGATGCGAGGCGACAAAACCTTTTTTATTGGTACATAAATTTACCCTGCATATAAAAAGAAATAGATAGCTGTTTAACTGAATTAACACGTTATAGTTGTTTTTCTAGAAAAATGTTTTGAGCATTAAAAGAGGGCAATCCACTATTGTTGTTGTTGTTACCGTTGGTGCATACTCAATTATACCATGGATTCACATGGTGCAATTTATTTTTTATTTTTATAACAAAAAATCTATCTTATTTTTTTATTTAACCTTTTCTATTAACATGTTTCGTAATTGGCCATGGTATTTTGTTTCTATTTTGTCTATGTTTTCTTCTATAGTTATAAAAAATATCATGTTTTTGGGTTTGAGCTTGATCATGCAAATTTTTTTGATGTAGGCAAAAGCTTAAAATATAGTAATTAAAAAATATAAATTTTTTCATATGCAAAAAGGAATGCAGATATGAATTTTTAAATTTACAAGATAATTTTTTTAAAATAATAATAATGAAGTTAGTTTTTTTAGTAAGTTTATAAAATCTTAAATACACCAAAAACTCTATCTCAACTAGAAAAAAAAAAACCAAAGTTGCAAAGAAAGATGCATAACATTCAAAATAAGCATGAAATTCAAAAATAATAAGAAAGATCATAAAAACTATCAAAATCAAGGTTCTTAGCATGATTTTGATATCTAAAGATTTGACAATTTGTATAAAAATTTGAGTATAATCTAAGAATTGGATAAAACATTATGATCCTTTTGAGTTATTATTTTGATCTACACGACAAAACTTTTTTTGTTGGTCTATAAATTTAATGCCTTTATATATAAAAAGAAATTGATAGCTGCTCAAGTCGCAAATTTAGTATTTTTTTCTAGGTTAATTGTGTATAATTTTATATAACAACATCTCAATATTAAACAACATAAAATTTCAAGCTTGATTTTTTAGCTGACTTATATTTTTCTAATAGTCTAGCTGTTTTTGAATTTGTCTCATGAGTTAAACTTAAGAAAAACAACTTAAGATTAACACTTAAAATAAAAAATTATAATTAAAAAATCATAATTTCTGACTCCACAACAAGATCTTTGGAAAGAAGCTATCTAACAGGAGGGTGGGGCTCCTCTTAGCCAATGAAAACAGCTTCACATGCAACTCAACAACGTGAAAAAAAGTAGAAACAAGAGAAAAAGATTCTCAGCCTGTTTTCTCTTTAATGAACACCCTCTTGGATTCTCTAGCATTAGCCAACAAGGTATTTGCTTGAAATTACTTCCACCAATCTAAGACATAAGTATAGCATTTTTATTTATTTTTTCTCAAATCTGGATATGTAAATATTCCCTTTGCATTATTTTTTATTAGCCTCGTACCTTTTCATTGGGCTTCTTAGCCTTTAGCACCCATTAATTTCTCTTCTTACTCATTGAATAAATTTTTAGGATTTTCTATTCCGGATAAAAGAAACTATTTTATATATCTCAATTTATATGTATTTGATTCATAGAATTACATTAAAAAATTTAATTTTAAAAAATAAAATTAAAAAAATAAGTTTGAGAATGCGGTTGTAATTGTTTTTTAAAGTGTTTTTTGTGTTGCAATATATCAAAATGATTTTTTTTTATTTTTTAAAAATTATTTTTAAAATCAACGTATCTAAATGATTCAAAACATACTAAAAAAATTAATTTTTAGCAAAAAAATTAATTTTTAGAGAACGCGGTTTGCATCACGTTCCCAAATGTTCTCTACTCTTTAGCCCCCATCTTATGGTTGCAAATAAATACTTAATCAACCATGAAGAATATAGCCTAATTGGTCAGACTTTAGATTTGCTCTTTAAAAATCACTAGTCCGAATTTCACAAATCTTAAGACCACTAAAGATTTATATAGTTCTTAACTTCAGGACCCGTATAATTAGTCAAGATATATATAAACTGATTTAGATATCCACATTAATAAAAATAAATAAATAAATACTTAAACAAACTTCATAATATTTCAACGTACTTATTATATTTTTTACCACCTGCTTAACTCTTATTTATGTTTCTTAGCTTATACTTTGATTTATAATACAAAAATTTCCATAATGAATACATCATTAGTAAAATGATTAATTTAATAATAAATATTGAAAAACAATTTATGTTTATTTGTTCGTAGCCAAGGATAAAAAAGATTCCTGGCTCCGCCCTTGCAGACACGCTCTTATTTTTTGAGGTTCGCACAGTAATGACTAAACACGCAACATTACATTACATGGGTAAACAAGCAGATAACCTTATTCACACAGCATATGCATTATTTTGGTCGTCAATTTGTTCCATGCGCGCAAATTGAGATTCTTTGAGCTGTCTAGACGCTACTTCCCACTTAACTGGAGATTTATGGCCGATTGACGCCACAATGGTTGTGTCACTGTTCCCAACCCGACCAGCCCTTCTGTAATAACTTGTCAGGCCATGGTTGCAACTTTAAGTCAATGATTGGATCCTTCAGAGTTGAATTATGTGCCATGATTTGGCACCATTAAAGAAAACGCCCCTCTTCCACCCTCTGGATTTTATGACCTAAGAGAGGAAACAATCAGGCCCAAAGGTGATAAAAAACCAGCCTTACCCCTAGTATTTTATCTGTCATTATTGTTTTTTTCTTCTTCTCCGCCGTTGTGACCACGGCTTCTTCAGCCACCATAACCTCACCAACAACGTGACCTTAGGTGGCCCAACACCCTTGCCACTACATCTCCTTGCCAGCAACAGGGGTAGCCATCGTTGGCTCCTCACTTCTCCCCTAAACAATAACCTCTGCAAGCTTCTTCTTCTTCCTCCCAAACCAACAATGACCCCTGCACCTTGAACCTCCATTCACTAGTGACAACACCAGCAACTCCAGCAGATCAATAATTGCCACCATTTCAGTTTTGTTCTCCTCCAGTACCGGTAGCAGCAGCAGCTCCAACCATGCCAATGTTTTCTCCTTTTTCTCCCTTCAACAGTCAACACCACCCACCACGTCTCCACCAACGGCTCTGACAGCATTCAACAAAAAGGCCATCCGGCCACTCCTTCTGTAATAACCCAATTTTTGGATTCTCCAAAATTTTGTGGAATGTTATTTTTATTTCCATTTTGATTCATAAAAATCCAAAAAAAGTTGAAGAAAAAAATTTAAAATTTAAAAATATAATTTTCTCAGATCAAATGTTTTTTTCTATGAAAAATAAACCCATTAAATTAATACAGATGAAACCATGTTAATTAGGATAAAAATTAAATTTTAAGCTATTTTAAGTTAAAATTATTATTTTTGGTTACAACTCAGTTAGCTGGGTTGACACCAGTCAAAAAATGTTTTTTTGATAATTTTTAATAGTTGAAATAATTATTTTTTTATATTAATTTGAGTTTTTAATTATATATATATAAAACGCAGAAGTTTTATTATAGTAGTTGGTATAATAAAATTAGATCTAAGGTCATATTTGATTAAAGATAAAGATGATTTTGGGTTTATTCAGTAGTAAGTTTTATTAAATTTAAAAATTTATAGCTGGACGATACCAATTTATTTAGATTTTGGACCAATTTTCAAAAAGCCAACGGAATTTGACTTTGACAAATTATTTTATATTTTTTTATTGGTTTAAAATCTAAAAAATTAAAATTTAGAAAGTCTCCATTCATATTTTTTATAAAAAAAATTGTTCAAGTTTTTAATCAAAATAAAACTAAACAAAAAATTATTCAAAATCATATATTGAGTATGAAAAGGTGACAGGGCCAATTACTATGGGATAGAGGGAGAAATAAATACTAAATTCTGCGAATTAGGGTGCTCAAGTCTAAAAACATGAGCAAAAACTTTAAGAATGAAATTGCCTAACTGATCCAAAACTATTTATGACAAGCTTGAATACCAAGATAATAGCTTGCATATGGCCTCCAGAATCCTCACCAAGCTGATTCTTGAGAAGTAGGATGGATTTCCGCAGAGGAGAGGCTGAGCCTAAGCGGACCAAACGGACGAGGCACATATATAGAAATGATGTATCCATTGGATCCATACAGAATCTGTTTTCATATGAATGTTCCACAGCTGCTTGGCTAAAAAACTATTACTGCAGGATTTGATATCAACCAAAGTTGACTTGCTTCTCAAGAAGTTTCCTGTCCATAAAAAGTTCCGAGAGAGTCGTTCGAGTAATGTGCCTGATGACCGCTTGCGGCATGGGAAGAATACTAATCCAAAACTGAATGCCCATCCAGCCATGAATGCTCGCTTCAAGCTTGTGTAGCAAGGGAGAATACTGACTAGCTAAAAGCCTTGAGAGTTATATTTAGATTTCTTTTTCTTTATCTTGCTAAAAAAATACATCTAGCAAATTGATTTAGATTCAAGTTGATTTTTTATTTTTAAATCAATTACATGTTTATTTAAGATTGTGAATGGATTTATTGAGGTCACTTTTACACATACCTAACTTTGATATCCCTCCTATGTATCCAACTTTTCAATAAAAGAAGCAATTTTTCATTACATTTGTTATAACCCAATTCTGGATTATTCTCCAATTTTGATTCATATTTTGATAACTTTTAAAAAAAAATCCAAAAAATAGAGAAAAATAATGAAAATCTAAAAAATACATTTTTAAACATATTTGCATCATTTTTAGCATTTTCAACATCATCTCACAAGAATTTAAATTTTCAAAGATATTTGGAACGCGTTCAACTTTTAACGCGTTATTTTTAAAATAATTGATTTTTCTCATTAGGTCGATGTTGATATTGATTGTTAAAAAAAAAAATAAAAAAAATCAAAATTTACAAAAAATAAATTTGAGGGACTAATTTTGAAATCCAACCAACATTTTACCTATAAATAGTAACCTCTAACACGATATAAAAGACGGGGGGAGGGATCTTGACCAAAAAAAAAAGGAAACCCTCAAAAACAAAAACTAAGCCTTTTCTTCTCCCTCGAAGAATCGGCCGCCCCCTTCCTTGATATTTTTTTCTCTTCCACACCGTAGCCCCATTAACTGATCTTCCCTCTCTCAGCCCCCCTCTCATTTCCTTCTCTCGGTCGGCGACCCCCGGCCTTCACAAAAGAGGAAAGCCACGACTGGTCTCTCTTGTCCACTGTCATCTCCCCACACCGGACAAGCCCCCCTCCTCCAGTTGTTCCTCCAACGTTCACAGACTCAGATCGGTCGGCCCTTCTCCAGCAGCACACCTACAACGACCGTCCACCACACCGAGACCCACCGATTTGTCCATTCCTCCGCCTCAACACTGCCAGCAACCTCCCATCTTCGCAGTAGCTCCAACAGCTGTAGGCAGTAGCAACAAAGCCGACTAAAGCCGACAATTAGACCACTTCGTTCTCCTCCATCTCCGTCAAACCAGACTCCAGGGGCTGCACAACCGTTGATTGAAACACATCCACCCATCTGGCTGCCTGAAATAGAGAAGGAGAAACCCGAAGAAAAGTAGATCTGTGGAGACAAAAGCAGATCCAAACGGAGAAGAAGAGAAAGAAACAGATCCGTGAACAAGAAAGAAAGAAATTAAAATCCACTGCTTGATGCGTTTTTTTTTCCTTTCTTTTAGGTTTTCTGCAGGTCACCGCTGGTGTAGGGAGGCTGAGAATAAGAGGTTGATACAGATCCCCTCTGTTTCTAGGACTTTTCTGCGGCGGCGCATGAACCCACGCGCCACCAGTGGCGGTAGCGCGTGGGAAGACGCGCCGACCCCTGTTCCTACTCCTAGAAACCTTCCTTAATATTATTCCGGCTTGCAGTCCTTGTAATTTTATTATTTTGGGGTTGTTATTGTAATGTAATTTTTGTTTAATTGTTTTGAAGTTATATTTTGGGGTTGTTATTGTAATGTAATTTTTGTTTAATTGTTTTGAAGTTATATTTTGCATTGTGGATAAAAAAAAAAACAAAAAAAAGATGAAAAAGAAAAGAAGAGGCCGAAGCAGATCTTAAAAACAAATGAAAAATCAAAATCAATTGTCTAGGTTGTTTTTGGTTGTTTTGTAGGTCACTGTTGGCGAAGGAAGAAAGGGAAGAAGAAAACGTTCCTGATTCACTGTTTTTTTTCTCTTCATCGGCGACGCTTACGAGTACTGTTCACATATCGTCATTATTCATGTGTATTGTTCACACCGTCTAGAAGGACTTCCCAGCACTGTTATGGAGTTTTGAGGGGTTATTTTGTAATTTTCAAACTGTTTAATGTAATATTTATAATGTAATATTTGTTTAGTTTGAATTTTTTATTTGTATTTTATAAATAAAAAAAAACAAAAAGAAAAGAAAAGGAGCATCTTTGTGCTTGTACTTTTCCTGTGAATGTTTTTTTATTTATGATAAAATTGTAAAGAATAAAGAAGAATTTAATATTTTGATTGGATAACGGTGGAGAAGTATAATCTTGTATGAAAGTTGTATTTCTAAAACCCGATGAAAAGATAAAATTTTCAAAATTTCTTTAACATATTCATGAAGCAGTTTATCTTAGGTAGGGTGTGTTAGGGGTGCTAATACCTTTCTTAGCCACAACCGGTTCCTTACGCGTGAATTTCTGACAAGACTAGTACAATCGGGTTCCTAGTAACTTTCAATTAAATACTAGGTGGCGACTCCGAATCCAATAAGATCAAATCAAATAATAACGATGAAAAATCATTAGAGCCGACGCCGCGCAAATTTTTTTAACGTGTGACAACATTCACCATAATATTTATCTAACATGTATGCAGATTATCGTACCTGACATTACGACGGCCTTAAAAAAAATTAATAATAAAAAAAGATTTTTTGAATTTTTTTCTTAAACAGGGAAGGTCTTGCTTAAAGAGTCGTCACCTAATATAATGCTCATTAAGTAATCTAACTGGTCAAAAGATATCTTATGGTATGAGACTAGTTACGTAAAAGAGAAGATATTATCACCTCTTAAATGTTCTACTTGAAGCACATTGCATTGCTAATTTTATTTTAATTGCTAACAGTTTATTGGTTTATGCTATGATGGTTTGCTCGTAATATTATTAATTCTAGCATCAGTGAATATTCAATTACGAATACTTTCAACTCTAGCGTTGATAAATATTACAGGCTTGTATTTGTTTTAATTTCAATCAAATATGACAATGCAATTAGATGGCTCATATTTGATTTATGGAGCTATGATAAGGGAATCGTGCTTGAATCACATATAACAATATTTACGTAGTAAGAAGCATTGTTAAAGATGCTACACAAGTAAGTTTCCAAATGCTATCAACAAATATTATAACCTCTTAATTTATTCAAGGATTGAGCTAAATTGCATCCAAGCAATCCCTAACTTTGGTAGTTTCTTTGTGTTAAAAATAGAGACTTCTTGGTGTTTGCCGGAACTCCAACTTGGGTATACCTTTTGTGAACAAGAAACAAGGTAAAAACATCTTTTAACAATATCAAATCATTTATTCATAAAAGTATTAGTAGTGAAACATTTAATTTTACTACATTGAAGAAAATTCTGATTTAATACCAATTCATGCCTAGCACGACTGTTACATAACACTTGGGATGCTCAACAATACTATATTCACAGTCATGACAACGAACACTGATGCAGCCACGAAAACATCAAAATTGCGCCCACCTATTTGCTTTGGTAGTAAAATATTGACCACAAACTTCGTTGACCAACAGAATCCCAGCCTTCAGCCAACCCCAAATTTGACTATCATCGTATAATATTGATCATCACATTATGCTAATATAACAACATTCTTAAATTCACATCCTACCGACCATTATGGCCATTATAATGGCCATCATGCCATAAGAGCCTCATTTTGAGCCAATTTCTCTCTCTTGCCACTATGAGCTTCCAACCATTCTCCACGTTTCACTTTTCTTCAAGTATTTTCACCAAACTAAAGCTTCAACCTTTAAATTTTTGCTTATAAAGTCGAGATCCAAGGGATTATTTAAGATTTTATGGGAAGCATTTCAAATATTTTATGTTTTTTTTTTGAAATATTGTTATAGACATAGAATCAACACGATTATGTGACATTCTATATTGATTTTGTGATATTTTCATCACTAAAAGTATGGGTTTCAAAAAAATAAAAACCAAACAAAAAATTTTAAAAAATAAAATTTTTCAAAAAAATATATTAATCAATTTTGGTCTGGTCGGGTCTGGTTTGGTTTGAATATTTTTTAGTTGAAACAATTAATAACCATTTTCAAAAGGTAACTATTGACAAGCCTTTCACGAAAGTCATGTTCATTTATGTTGAATCAATCCAAGTCTGGTTCGGGTTGCTAACTCAAAATAATGCAATGCAAATTTAAATATACACAAACTCTGGATTGTTTCAGTTTATTATTTTTTAGAAATATCAAACTGAAATCAAATCAAAATAAATAAATATTTCTAATTGAGACGCCCCAAAATACTGAAAAAATAATTGGTTTTGTTTGGTTTGGTTTGATTATAGCAAATACCCCTGACAATCTGCTTTTTCACTCGACATCAAACGATAAGCACTAATATTATGTTTTTAAGTGAATTACTATAAAGTATAAAAATATATGTGGATAATTGAAAATTTGCTCAGAGTTGCTAATAATTCACAACTGCAACAACCAACACGACCAGGTAATGCTTGGGAATGGGCCTTGGTGCACAATCATGATTGTAACCATGATTTAAAATCATTTCCACACTAGACAATCCAAGACAATTGGTATTGGATTGTTAGCAACAATTCAGGTTTATAATAATAATAATAATAATAATAATAATAATAATGTTGATTCTTTTATCTCCTACTTAATGCAAGTGTCTATCGTGTACTGAAATTGATTGTTTACCTCATATTTCTTTTAAAGGCAGAGATTTCTTGGATGACAATGGAAAAAAGTAATCGCATGGTTATTTTCCATAAGATTCATTCGAGTAAATATTCTCTATGGTCAATTTCATCGAAGCAATTACTTCAATGAACACTTCCTAATTACCAACCTCTAAGTAGTCATCTCCCTTATCCTAACTTTTTATTTCCTAATAAAATCTCACGGTTTTTCATCATGTTCAAAGGAAAAGTTGACCTTGCAAATGGTGCTCTAAGGAACCAAGTCATCCTAGAACTAATCATCCACCTAATCTCATCAACTCCTTGTTGCACAAACAACTTGTCTCACTTGAAGGGGATTTTAATGATGAACAAGCACCAACTCCTTGTTGCTCAAATACATATGCTCATTTAAACACAATTTTGCATTACCTAGAACTGACAAGGCCTAAAATTCCAAACGTACAATTTTGTTTTAAAGGAACTTCAGGATTTCTATATAGATGCTTGACCTCATTAAAGATAAATGAGGACATCCATAACATAAACTATCTTCCTTGCCCCAAAGTCAGAACAGAAAAACCCTGTTCACTACGTGGATGTAGGAAGCAATATGTTATATTATTAGTTAGATATAACTTACCTATTCATTATTGAAAAAAACATAAAATAAATAAATATATTAATAGAAATCTAAAACAGGTCGGCTGAAATATAATACTTTTATCTTTTTTTGTTTCATATTTCTCAATTAAGAGAATCATAATACAATAAAATGCATTTGAAACACTATCCTATTTTTCTACTACATTAAAAATTAACTTCCTACATGTGGGGTATTGCATTAACAATTTTTTTTGTATTTATTAACATGTATGATCCTCAATTTATTTTATTATATGTAAACATCAATTTTTTTATTCATAATTATATTTTTTTCTCCTTATTATCAAAAAATACATTAACAACACTTATATATCCATTCTCTTGTGTTGGAAAATATTATTTAACCCATAACAAAGCAAGTTAAATAAACACGTCAATATCTTTTTTTTATATTTATGATCAAGGTTTATTTTTTTGTTAGAAATATATTTAAAAAGCATTCATATTTATTTATTTTGCTAAAAACCATTTTTGATTAATAGTAAAGTGTGAGTCAAATAACTATTAATATGGCTATAGTAAATGTCTTTTTAATATATGTGGATGTAGTCAGCAATGTGCTACATTATTAGTTAGATATAACTTACCTATTTATTATAAAAATAAATAAATAAATATATTAATAAAAATAAATAAATAAATAAATATATTAATAGAAACCTAAAAAAAATTGGTTGAAACAATATAGTCCACGAGAGGAAATATTGTGAATTCACACAATATTTACTTTCTCTATTTTTGTTCAGTGATCTTTGATGATAAATTGATTAAGATTTGAGATAGGTAATGTATTTTTATTTGTCTTCTTTATAATTATCTTGCTCTCGATAAAACATCATAATATTTGAACAATGCTCATTTCACAAAAAAAAATTGTTATTTGTAAGAAATTGAAAATGAAAAGATCAAAATTGAAACAAATAAAAAATTAATTTTTTTTTGAAAAAATATGGTGTTAACTTTGCCTCTTTTTTTTTTTTTTGCTTTTGATCATCTACTTTATTTTTTTTTTAAAAATTAATCTTTCAATGTTGTGTAAAAATTTGAAGTTGATAATTTTATATGAGCATCTAGAACTAAATAAAATGCCGCACCATTGGTTTAGTGCTCGACTTTACAAAAAATAAATCTATAATATTGTTTGAGAAAAAATAAAAATAAAAATAAAAATAAAAAAATTGAAACATGAAAAAAAATTAAAAAAGGAGGCCTTAAAAAACAAATTGTGTCAACGCCTCCATGCCTTGTAATTTATAAATCTTCTTTTTGGTAATGAAACTTTTTGATACAAAACTTTATTTTAATTCTTGAGGTTGAGAAAGAAAAAAGTAATTCATCAGAAAATTACAAAGAAAAGAGGAAATTAGCGAAAGCCAGCAAGGTATCTGCTCGAAAAAACCATTCAACATAAGATTGCCCTGCTAGGAAAACATGGTATCAGTATCAAACTTTTGAACAAAGAGTTCAGCATCAAGTCTCAGTCATCTTGAGATTTGAATGCCCAAACATATTCAGATGCTCATAAAATAACAGTTTTAATAATGCATTATGCATTAGAAACAGAACATCAAACAAAGAGTTCAGCATCAAGCAAACATATCTTCCTGTTACACATATCTTCCTTACTTCCGGAGGCTTGTACGATAATGACTAAACACACAACATTACATTACTTCTAACTTCTTCAGTAAACACATAGATAGGTAAGTCGAAATCTTCCATGGTAAATAAGACTGTTACAATGTGAAGCCAATTTGTATCCCATTGCCAATGAAACAGTTGGAATTAATTACTTCCCACCAATCTAGAACATATTCGCAGCACCAACCTTGAAATCATGTAACAGCTAACCACCCTTGCCTGATGCAAACATGAAGAACAAAGACCATCCATGATTTAATTCAACCATTAAAATTTGAGGGTATAGGAGAGGATAAATAATTGCAGCTATATCACCTGGTTTGGGCAAGAAATAATTATTAGACTAGCCATCATCATCACCACCATCTTCCTCTTCTTCTTCTTATACTTCTTTCCACCCTTCATTTCTGGTCCACTCTCTATTAATGCTTGAATCTTCAGCCACTTCAGATACCTGTAAACCAATTCAAGCACGGCATGCTCATTTTAACTTGTAAATCTTATTATTGAGCCAAACAAGAAACAAACACACTAAAAGAGAGGCAAGAAATCGAGTCAAATCAGCAGCACCTCTGATTCAGCACTCATTGAACCATCTGGTGTAGTAGCAAATTTTGTGGTCAGCTTTGGACATTGACGGACCTTCAGTTTCTCCAAACGAGGGAATAAGAAATAATCACACCATCCGAAACTAAAACAGACAATACTTGATAATTGCTCTAGCGACAACTCCTTTAGATTAGGAAGCTCTATCTGCTTCTCAACGTTGATAGGTGAAGCTTGATCATCCTGCCCAGGAGACTCTGGAATTATTTCCCTTTCACCATCCTCTTCTCTGATAATATGCTTCAATTCACCGCATTCACTTATGCGAAGTATTTCTAGCTTTGGCAGACTTTGAAGAGTTAGAGACACGGAGACAGGGAAGACAAATTCCAGTTTACCACACTCTTCTACTAAGATAGTTTTTAATTCTGGGAAGCAAGGAGACTCTGGAATTATTTCCCTTTCACCATCCTCCTCTCTGATAATATGCTTCAATTCACCGCATTCAATTATGGAAAGTCTTTCTAGCTTTGGCAGACTGTGAGCGAGGGACGGTGTGAAGATAAATGTCAGTTTGTTGAGACACCAAACATCCAGATGAACAAGATTTTGGAGGCTGACATGTCTGGTGGGCCCCTTCCATATGCCTTTGAGCTCAGGTAACCATGACAGCTGTAACTCTGTTAAAGATGACAGCAGCTCCTTCTCCTCACTGCTTCCTTCATCATCCCCATCCAATTCAAATACCTCTTCCAATGATTTGCAGCTGGTAATTCCCACAGTGCTTAGATTGTTCAGAGCTCGCAGCAATTTTGCTGGAAACGGAGCGCGAACATCCCCACAACCGTCCACTTGTACAGATTTTAATCTTTGTAAGCAGCCGTTTTGCTGCCCATGGACGGCCATCTTATCAGAGAACAATATTATATTTTTCACTCTCATAAAAACAATTTATATGATGTATGAATAGGAGAAAAAAAAAAGAAGAAAAAAACTGGATTACATGCTTTTTAGAGATTACATATTATTGTTTTAGTTTTTTTCTTAATTAGAGATAAGTTGAATAACAATTAGTTTTTTGTGAAAAAAAGGTTAATACAACTCCTAATAATTAGTTTCATGTAAAAAATAAAAATCCTAACTAAGATTTTTATTTTAGTTATAAAGTTAATAAATTTTTAAAGATATTTTAATTCACTTCAAAATTTTCAACACAAAATTTTTAAAGTTAATAAATTTTTAAAGATATTTTAGTTATATATTAATAATTTTTTTGTGAAGTTATTTGATGTACTTTTGTATAAAAATAATTTTTTATTCTGTGCAAAGTTGTTTTAGTGGACAAACTTGTCCAATATTTATCAACCCACGTAATATATACACCTCGTGTCAGGCATAGATTACCTCCAAAGTACCCTTCCATATACACCTCGTCTCAGGCACATGTTGCAAGCGTAATGTTTTCAAATTTGTTAGATATAATTCCTCACAAATTTTGTGCACTTTGGGAGTGTCCATATAAAACTTCAGCCAAAAACTTATCAACAAAAGGATACAAGTAGACATGGCAATATGAAATCAGAAGATGTTAGATGGAGGTTTATCTTAATTGGGAAATCATAAAGATTGAAAAATCTGGATATTCAATAATTAATTTCATCAAGAGACAGGGAATGATACAGTTAGACAACTCCTTTTAAATTTAGTGGATGGCTAAATGATTTATCAATTACTCCAGTTTCAGAAATTTAATGGAAGAAATCAACATGTATTGAAGTTGACAATTTCAATTAAAAAGGAACAAAAATTATTGGAGAAATATAAAGGACGTACTTGGAGCTGTGCACGCAAATTTCCCAATTCTTTGTGGCCATTGACTTTTAGAATTTGCAAAGAAGGCAATTGTGCAGCAAGATTCTTGGGACCAAAAAAGCTGTAATTTGATCTGGAAGAAAGATCCAATTCACTTAGTCGAGGGAACTTGATGATGCCATCTGTGGTGAGTGCATCTCCTTCTACACTGTAAAATATATGCTTTAAATTATGAGCTTTAAGAATCCGCATCTCTTCCAGGTTAAGAAGGCTTGGAGACACAGATACAGGGAAGACATATTCCAGTTTACCACACTTTTCTATGGTGATATTTTCTAATTGTGGGAAGCAAGGAGACTCTGTAATTATTTCCCTTTCACCATCCTCTTCTCTGATAATATGCTTCAACTCACCGCAATCGCTTATGTCAAGGGTTTCCAGCTTTGGCAGACTTCGAGCGAGGGACGGTGTGAAGATAAATGTCAGTTTGTCGAGAGAATCCAAATCCAGACGAGCAAGATTTTGGAGGCTGACATGTCTGGTGGGCCCCTTCCATATGCATTTCAGCTCAGGTAACCGGCGCAGCCCTAACGTTGTTAAAGATGACAGCAGCTCCTTCTCCTCACTGCTTCCTTCACCAGGCAGGTCACCTAATTCAAATACCTCTTCCAATGATTCACAGCCGGTAATTTCCACAGTGATTAGATTGTTCACAGCTCGCAGCAATTTTGCTGGAAACGGAGCGCGAACATCCCTACAACCGTCCGCTTTTACATATTCTAATCTTTGTAAGAAGCCGTTTTGCTGCCCATGGACGGCCATCTTATCAGAGAACAATATTATATTTTTTCACTCTCATAAAAACAATTTATATGATGTATAAATAGGAGAAAGAAACAGAAAAAAACAGGATTAAATACTTCTTAGAGATTACATATTATTGTTTCAGTTTTTTTCTTAATTAGAGATAAGTTGAATAA